TGACTTGGAGCAGTCTCTTCTGAGGTACCACGAGGAAAAGCCCAAACGAGCTACTGTACACAGCCACCCTCTTAGCACTGGTACTGAATGTGCTGGTGCTGATGGACTTTGCCTTCCACGTGTGAGTGGGTGTGGGTGTGGATGTCTGTGTAAATCTTTGGGTACATTTTGGATGCCATGGCCGGGGCAAGTGCAGGCCCCTGTGACAGTAAATGCTGCTGCTGGGCGACATATTCCTCATAGTTTATGGAGGAGATGCAGTCTTTGTCAGGGACCTGGGAGACGCAGATTCTGTCCCGGGGCTGTGGCCGGTGCACGGGGGCAGCAGCTGGTGGGGAGCAGGGTTTCTTCTTGGTCTGGCAAAGCCACAAGAGGATTGTTCCGAAGATGAAGACGGCTCCAGCGGGGATGCCGATGATCACGGGCCAGGGAAGGCTGCTGGCTGAGGAGGGGGGCACAGGTGCACTCGGAGGCTTGGGATCTGGACATCATGGCACGAGAGAGACAGGAAGAGTTAATTAAATGCAGGCAAAGTGAATTCAAAACAGATGTCACACTTGGGCTGGCTTTTGTACAGGCTGTCTGGCAACCCTGCCAGACCAAGTAACAAGGGAGAAATGAAGCCAGCACATGATGTTTGGTAACTGCTTTGCTTTTCAGCGCTCCTGGAAGGACAAGCAAGGAGAGTCTTTGGGGGATTTTTTAACTTTCTTATCCAAGCTTTAATGGATGCACTAGAGCCAGCCCGAGTTTCCTAACACCCTCACTCTCCGATGGACTGCTCAGATTGGAGGACACAACACGGGACGTCTTGGTAATACCTCCATGTCAGAGGCCCAGGAGGCACGACCAGACGGCATGTTGCCCACTTGCCTCTGCCATGTGTGGCTGTGTCTGCGTGGGCTTTAGACACCCCTTAGTATCCCTTTCTGGCAATACTGAAGCTATTCAGCAATGTTCCACCATGGCAGGCAGCATAAATGTGGTGTTTTGGAGGGGTTGTCTTGAATTTCTTGTGTGGCTGGGAACAAGGCTGAAGGATGTGAAAATACAGGTGAGCTGGTGTCCCCTTCTTGGTGCCCAAGCCATGTAGAACTGGAAGTTCACCAAGCATTGAAGTGTATGTCCAATTCCCTATGCCAAATGGGCTCTGCCTCCATCAGTCCCTTTGGAACTGCTGTTGGCTTTCCCAAGGGCAGTGAATTCAGTTACAAGAGGAGATAAGATGCCTCAGACAGCATCTTTCACTCCTACCTCCTCCTTCCCCTCTCCGCTGTTGGCAGCCTGTACATCCCTGGGTAACCACTCCAGTTTCTCAGCCTGATCTTTTGATTTATAGACCTCGGGGAGTCCTGGGGTAGGATCCTAGCTATCAAAATCCCCATCTAGATAGCTACTAGCTGGGATTTGCAAAGCCCTGAAAAATACCTAGGCACAGATTTCAGCTTGCAGGGAGACACTCAAGAAACTTTGAAAACCACAGGCTATCCAAATGGCCCAGTATGTTATAGTCAAACATGTATCACAACTTTCAAGCCAAACTTCTTTAAGACACTAATGTCTTTTTCTCTCCTTGACAAATAATTCAAATGGCTAGTTTGAAATATTAAATGTATACCATGTGGTCCCTTTGAAGTCAGAAGGACCTATACGGTTGACCTCAACAGACAAAACTTTGATTCACCAACACTGGAAATTACAGAATAATTTAGGCTGGAAGGGGAGTCTGGAGGTCATCTGCTCCGGCCCCGTGCTCAAAGCAAGACATGATCAGGGAACTGACCCATCAGCTGACCACAGAAACAACAGTCTTCACATTGGTTAGCAGAAATCCTCTGCTGGGCTGAAATGAAAGTGTTTTGATATTCATCCATGCTGTTCTTTGGAGCTGTCTATGTCAAATCTGGTAGATTTACAAGCAAAATGGTGTTTTTCTAACTCATGGCCTTGCAACCACATCTTTGCCTCTGAGGGCAAGCTGGGTTCTTCTTCTCCATCATTGCCAATAACAACAGGCCTGCAGGCTCTGGTTCTGGTATGAGGCCTCATTATAGTCCCATTTAAATCAATGGAAAGTCTCCCACTGATTTCAGTGGGAGCTGGATCAGACTCTCATAGTTCAGAAACTCCCAGAGGCTTTGAGTTTTATCCCACCCATGCAGAATTTTCCTTGGGATTGACAGGCTTTCTAGTTGCAGTTTAGTCCTAAATCTAAGTGATGCAGAAGAAGATGCCAAGAGCATTCTCTTACTTGGCAACTCACTGTCAGTGTCTAAACTCAAGCTAGTGACTCTCAATGGCTGCTGAGACACAGAACTTTGGCCATCACTGAGCAGAAGAAGCCATGCTGCCTTAGTTACAGGAGTCATGAGCATTTTCCCCACTACCTACATAGAAAAGCAGTCCTAAGAGCCTGGGAGACTTAATGATCTCTGTCTCTCACTGGTGTCTTGACTGCAGACACCCCATTAGACCTGACTGCTAAAATGTTCTAATACCAGCTCCAGCTCCTGCACTCTCTTAGCTGTGTTGGCCTTGTGGTGGTGAAGAAAAAGCAGTAAGATTGATTTTTGTCATAACACTGGAGGATCTGAAGCTAGATTCACATGGCAAGATGAGGCAGAAAGAAATGCCCTTTTCAATAAAAAATATTTATCAGGGCAGAACTGCACAGTCAGGAGGCAAGGGAGTGAATGACAAAGCGAGGATGGTGTGCCTGAAACACACTCAATACAGCCTCAGTCGGACGTGGCCACCGGCTTTGAGGCCTGGGGAGAGAAGGAAGCAGCTGCGAGTTTGGTACAAGGGTCCCCAGGGGATCATTGGGTAAGAATTTAACTAATCAGTCATTCTCTCTTTCACACTTGTTCTTTTCCTTTCCTTGTGACTGGGACAGTTTTTATTCTTCTCTCATTTTATGGGCCTGTGTCATTGTTTCCTTTTACCAGTAAAAGCAATATAAATAACAGCAAGAGAAAGAAGAGATGTAAGGGAATGGGGTTGCAAACTGTACTACTATTCAGTTCCCCTCTCACCTCCACATCCTATTGCTGAAGTGATGTACTGCCTGCAACTGCAGTAACATTTCCCAGCTCCTCTTTCATGCTGGAGCAGATAATTCATTTTATTTCACCTTGCTGAAATCATTATTCCCCATGAAGGGAGAAAAGCAACCATTATCAAGAGGAATTCAGCAGGGGCTGATTTAAATCGGGGCTGAATAGTCCCTCACGCATTCTTAGCAGAACTAGGCTAGCCTAAATCAGCACAGCATCACAGAGGGCCATGGAGCCCAATGGACATCAGCAGTTGTGTTAATAAATACCATAATGCAGACTATTGGTTCAGATGGGGGAAAAAAGGCAGAACTCACCTGGAAGGACTGTGAGAAAAGCGCTGCGAAAGCTGTAGCCCATGGTGTTTGCCCCTAGGCAAATGTACATCCCTGCATCCTCTTCCTTGGCTCGAGTAATCATCAGTTTGTTCAGGTAGGAACCATCAGGACGGGACCAGACCTCTCCCGTGGGTAGCACAACAAACTTCTGTCCCCCAACATCGATGGTTGAGTTGTACTTGCTCTCTGTGCCGTACTCCACCCTTTTCAGCCACTGGATGACGGGTTTGACATCACTGCGGACTTTGCATTGGAAGGACGTCGTCCCACCGTAGTCTACTGTTGTGTTGACAGGGTGTGTCCCTGTCAGGATGGGCTTCGACCTCGTCCTCTCTGCACAAAAACACAGATGGCTCCATAAAAAAAGGTGTTTGCCAATCTCATTAACTTGTGATTGCAGAAACATAGGAAAAAGGCATAGGAGGGATGCAAAATAATTGTCTAATCCAGCTCCCTGCCCCAAGGCAGGCTGAGATTTCTGCAAAGCTCTCCTGATATAACTTTGCCCAGCCTCTGCCAAAGACCCTAATGATAGATGCTCTCCAGTCTCTCCAGACAACTACTCCATTGTCTGAGGCTTAGCAAGTCTTTTCTCATGTTCGACCTGAATCTTCCTGTTTCTAACAAGGAAGTTACTTACTCTATCTGCATCAGACCTGGAGAAAAGTTTGCTCTCCCTCTTAGCCCTTATATTTTGGAAGATTTTCTTCAGTCCTCTCTTCTGTACACTGAATAACCCTCCTAACTGCTAAGCAAATGTCCTAAGAATCTCCTGTAGAAGGTTTTTCTGTCTTTGCTGTGTTTCTGCTCTCTCAGGTCACTCACAAAGCATTTATATTTGGGTACCCAGTTTGCGGTGGTATTACTTGGCACCACACAAGTCAGTCCTGGCCTTTCTGCTCCTTGGTATGTATTGTAAGTCCAGTCTGGACTGCTGAATTTCCCCATTCTCTTGCTGTATGCTGCAGCTATGAGATGACAAAAGGGGCCATCCTTTCTTGTACTCCCACTTTATCCTCTTGTCTCAGGGGCCATATCCCAGAATAATGGGATCTTAATGATGTACCTTGACCTGGGGTCAGAGGCTGCAGCGATCTTTCTTGAGTCTTGACCAGAGGAAGATAAATGGCCTGATACTAGCCAAAAAGGCCAAAGCCCATTTCAGGATTAAATGTGGGCAATAGTACAGGTCTGAACACAAATGAAGTGGATTATTTCACTGTAAATGTTCACTTGATATTGACCCTGATGATGTCTTATCAATGTTTATACATATCTGAAGGGAAGGTGTAGTAAAGAAGATGAAGCCAGGCTTTCTTCACTGGTGCCCAGTGACAGGACCAGAGGTAAAGGGCACAAACTGAAACACAGAAGGATCCTTCTAAACATCAGGAACCACTTTTCTACTGTGAGGGTGACTGAGCACCGGCACAGCTTGCCCAGAGAGATTGTGGCATCTCCTTCCTTGGTGATAATTAAAAGCTGTCTGGCCATGGTCCTGGGCAATCGGCTCTAGGTGACCCTGCTTGAGCAGGGGGGGTTGGACCAGATGACCTCCAGAGGTCCCTTCCAACCTCAGCCATTCTGTGATTCTGTGATGCTGTGTCTCTTACCACTACGTCTGGTAGGGTGCAATTTAAAGGTGAATATGACAGAACCTTATCTATTCTCAGACACAACTCAGACACAAGTTTTTTACCAGATTATTTACAAGTATGTATCGGTTGAGAGTCCACACCAGAACCACTGTGGCTACCCCCATATTGGGGACAGTGAGGAGCAGGGTAAGACATGTTCCTTCTCCTTTTGGTCTTTCCAAATGTTCCCTAAGGACAGACAAAATTGGATGGGAAAAGGCCCCTTCTTTCACTGACTAATGGCAGGCTGTGGATATTTTTTAATCTTTTGTCTGGGAGTCCTTCAGGAGATATCCGTCATTTCTGTTTCTGGGCCTGGTAGCTGCTCATGGAGACCAAACTCTACTGGAAGCCATCCCATGCCATGTCATCCACTGCTGGGGGAGCTGAGACCACAGGCACTATCAGTGAGGAAGATCTTCACTTCAACCTCACCTCCCTGCTTTTATTATTTCTTTCTTCAGTCTAATCATTCCCACACTCAGTATGGAGCAAATTTTTGTGGAGGAAGGGCTCAGAAGGCTTTTGCTTTTCTAGCCAACAACAAAATCTTTCCTTTCTCACAAAATTTTTTGCCTTAAGTCTCAGCTGATGAAGGAAACTATATGGTAGGAAAGGAAATCAAACACAAGAGGTTCACAAGACCATCCTTTCCGGCATGATCGTAAGCCTTAGGTTGTGTCAACACCACATAAAGTCAAAGGAAAAATACATTCCTAATTCTGAGGAATGTTTGGATTTTTTTTTAGTGCTAGCATCAGAGAAACCAGTCACAGTTTCCAGATGAAGAGGTACTGCAAACCTCTATGCTAGGCACAGAGAGAAATTATGGTATCACCGTGGGTGGTAACTGCTGGCAATCATAAACTGCTTTTGACGGCAAACACTGTTGGATTGAGCATGTAACAAAACAGCTCCCACGAGCACTGGTTTTGGGGTGAGAGGAAGGAACAATGGACCCTCTTTCAAAAACTCAGGATACTTTCAATAATGAGGGCTGTAAAGATGTGCTTGGGAAACAAAAATACCACAGTGGTCTCTATAGGCTTCGCCTTGGGACTACGAGTAGGAATCACAGCTGGGCAGACTGAGACTCAGATAAGCAGGACTTAGGAGTGGAGGCTCAGCGGGGGAAAAAAAGGAGGAAATTGAATAAAACCTGTAATGTTCCACAGAATGGAGTTAAAAATAGAAAGATGTCTGAAAACTGCTTAATGCCCTTATCTCCTTGACTCTGGTTCCAGCTTTGGTTACTGTTTTCACTCCTAGCCAGCAAAAGCTAATGAAAACAAAGGTTACATACATCTTTAAGTTGATAAAAACCAAGATAAACAGGGACACAGAAAGGGGTTTGTTCCTGGTGCTGTCTGGTTTTGATGAAGTGAAAATGCCACAGCTGCCATTAAGATGGGGCTTGATTCATTTCCCTGTCTCTGCTCCTGGTTTTAGTGTAAACACGTGTTTTTACTGTCTCCACACAGCTGCATCTTTATCAATCCCAGATGTCCAGCAGGTTTGTGCCTTTGGAGCCCAACAGAGCTCCCCACATGTGCTTTTAATTTCTGTCATCCTAGAGAAAGGACTTATCAGAGAACAGATCTTTACCTTTAAGAACAATCTTTCATACTGGGATAAACTTTCTGATGCTAAAATATATGCACAGACAGACAAACAACATGTTTTCCATGTGGCTGGAAATAGCCCTCCATGCCCTTGCTCCTCATTAATGAAAGCTATTCAATCTTCCCTCCACTCAACTCATCTTCTCCACTTTCTTGAGTTGGCTGCTCTGTAATCATTTCCATGACAACTTATGATGATGTCATAGACAAAGCACAATGATTTAAAATAAGAGCTCTTCTCTAGTAGACTTAGGTAGGATTTGAGTATAATTATCTTTAGTAATAATAGGGGAAACAGAAGATTAGAGATCAAAAATCAGAATAGCTAGATAGTAAGAAGAGCAATTTACTCTACTGCACCACAATTCAGGGTAACCCCCCACAGCTCATCTTTTAAGGGTTGAATCTTTAAAGCTATGTTGGCATCTAAAGATACAGACAGGACCCTGGTGGATTTTTTTTTTTTTTAGTACCTCGTTTGTACCCACCTGAACCTTCAGATGGCCAAATGTTTTTTTTTAAATCTGGCCCTAAATCCTTGTCTGGCTAATCACTCTAGTCATGATAATTCTGCTAATTCCCTTGGGAGACTTCTCTAATGAAGTGGGCCTTCTATTACAGCTATCTAGACTAAATTTTCAGCTGATTGGTTTCACCCTATTACCGCTCTGATAATCTGGGCCATACTAAATATTTCCACCCTTCCTCTATGGTACATGAAAGGGCTTTCTCAGTTCGTTCTCAGTCTGTCCTTGAACTGACTCTGTTGGTAGTGTAAGATTGAAGTGGGCAATGGTGAACTTTTGCAGGTGCCCTTACAGATGACTATTTCCCAAGTACCTCTCTTCATTTCAGCTACTAAATTGTATTGTCGCTACTCTGTCTTGCCCAGTTGTTAGGTTTATTCTGGAGTTTCAGTAATGTTTTCTCTGCTGATGTTTTTAACACTTCCCCATTTCTGTGTCCAGCTATTGGCATTGCACGCTTGCAGTCATGCTCTCTTTATTCAGCCAGCCCCCTTCTCAAAGCTCCCTCCCTGCCTTTCCACCCCAGAGGCTGCACTTACGGATTACTTCAACTTTGTATGTTGCATTGATTTCTCCAACTTTGTTAAACACTCGGCAGGTGTATTTCCCACTATCCTCTGGCTTCAGGTTCTTCAGGTTCAGTGTCCACTTCTTCTTCTTGTTCTCCCCAATCTCTTGGGGCGTGAGGGGCTTATTGTCCTTCAGCCACGTGATGTCAGGCCGTGGGTTCCCGCTGGCCACGCACTTCAGGCGGATGGAGCTGCCAACAGGACGGGCGATCACTCTCCGTCTCATCTTGGCAGGCTGTGTGAACCTGGGCCGGGCTGCAAAAGGCATGAAAAATTGACTGTGGTGAGCAAAGGGCATGCAAAGAAGGATATTGCTGTCAAGTGTTATGGCCAGATATGCTTGAGAAGCACCTGGCAGCCCCATACATACCAGTGTATCATGCTCTCTCATATCAGCTCAAACTGATTTCCTTAGAAAGGAGACACCATCCAGTCTGATGTATTTGAACATCTACTGGACTGCTATGCCTACTGCTTTAGCCTTCTGCATAGCACAACCCTGGAATTTCTCAGTGTCCGTAAGGCAACTGCGTCAGACCATTTCACAAAATAATACCAAAATCACGCTATTGTAGCTGAAGGCAAAATGCAGCCCCATAATCATGTTATAATTGTTACCATATTCCATGCCACAAATGCAAGCCCTTAGCCAAGACCAAAGGAAAAACCTCAGATTCCTGTCAGGCTGACCATTTTCTCAGTCTTTTGCTGGTCACTCAAAGCTTCATTTTCTGAAGATGTTTTGCTCCCTAGTTCTCACTGGTTTTAGTGCGACTGAAGAAGAGTCAACATCTTTTCAATATGTAGGAAAGTCTTAGAAGTGTGCCAGACTTTTGTACATTGATCTGAATTTAAATGTGTGCAATTCATCAACATTAATTTAGGAAGCATTCATGCCGAAAGGCCCAAAGAAGCAAACAAACAAATGGAAAGACCCAATAAAAAACCCTTGAATTTATTATTAGAAGATACCCCATGCCAGTCCATCCCAAAAATGGAGAAGCTGAAGCAATAGCTGCTGGTGGACAGAATCATGGGTTAAGATAGTCACTTTGCCTTATCAAGGAAATCACCAATATTTCTAATGGCAGTGACAAGAACACTAGAGAAATGCAAGGCCCTCACCTAGCAAAATTTGAAACTTATACCCTCAACTGCATCTAACTTTAATTCAATTTATGTCAGAATTCCGGAAGGAAAGGAGGTGGCATCTTTACACCCTAGTAGCTTATTGACACTGCAGAGTTTTCCTGTAAAGTCATGAGTTGGTCTAAGTAATCAATAGAAAGAAAAAGATCTTTTCAAAATAGAAAACAATAGAACTTGATCTGTTGCAAGGCAAAAGCTTGTCTAATAGTATCCTGTAATGAAGAATTCAAAAGAAATTACAAATTCCTCACAGTAACTTTAATTATGCAATACCAGTCCAGGGGCACTTCTAACTGCAGTCTTCTGCTGAGATTAACACCCCTTCTGACTCCCATTTGGCACTCTCCCCCTACATCAAAAATACTGCCAAATCCATCTGTCTTCTTTCTTCATTTTGGCAAAGCCAGTTTCTCCTCCAAGTCCATCCAGTGTCTCTGCAACAGGTTTCTCCCCCTGCTTTTGAACCCTATGTCTTGCTTACCATGATCAGCCCCAAAGGGCAGTCAACCTGCATTTTTGCGCTCCCCTGGTAAATCCTCCCTGATTCTTTTCTTGGGAAATAAGAGAAATAGGTAATGAATGGCCTTCTCTGTGGCACACTGGGTTGAATTATGCCCATCAGCCACTGGCCTTCACCAACAGCAACTGGAAAGCCACAACCTCAGTAGCATATAACACACCAAAGCAAGCTGAGAATATTGTGCTTCAGTATCAGGGAAGTTAGCTACAGGATGGCACGGTGGGACTATCTACTAGAAAGCCAGCCCTACTGCCCAGGGCTGAGGGCCAGAAGCTCTAGGATGTGCATTATAGTAGAGCTTTGCTGGATGGGGGAGGCTGATCTGCAGCTTCCTCTCTCCAAGCACTGGGGAACAGCAGCCATTGCCGTCCAAGGTCTGTGAACATATCCCTTAGTCCTCACCCCCCTGCAGCCTTGCCCAACAACCCTCCCTCTCGGAAGAAGACACCCTTTGGCACATCCCTCTCTTGAAAGTCCTTTTCTGTAGGGGAAACCATCTGCCTCTGCAGCCTTCCCTTGCCCCCCTTGGCTGTCATTTTGGGTCCCAGCCCTTTCATGTTATTTCAAACTCTTGCTCAGAAATGCTTTACTCTCCATACAGAGGCTTTCATCTGTAATCTAATGAACCAGAGCAACTCCAGCACTGAAAGTCCTTGCCGTGACAGCTGAGCAGCAAGTGTGACATACTAACCCACTCCACCGGTCATGGTGCGTAAATTGCTGGGTATTCCCTTGGGGGGTCTGCTGCAAGAGGAGGCCCCCTCCCAGCAAAAACAGTCACCCTCCCAGAGAGACAATTAACCCTGTCAGAGCTGCACGTTGTGAGCAATGACATGCTGAAATTTAGGTCTGAGCTGAGGGAGACATGCTGATAAGGGCTGTCATTGTGGAAACGGAGTAAATGCCTGCAAGGTGCATGAAGAGGTTAAGAACCAGCTGTGAAATGGGTCTAAACAGTTACCCTTTAATATGGCAGTAATTTACTCCAAGACCAGGAACTGCAGGTCCAGGTTGTGGTAGATCCTTGCTGGATGGTATTCCTGGGCTGGGAGTAACATATCAGAGAGCAGGTTGGAGACAGGACAGTCACACTCCCCAGGCAGAGTGAAAAGTCAAGTGAGTGACTCTAAGCTCTCACCTTCCCTCACATCTTCCCCATTTCCACAGCAATATTTTCACAAGGACTTGGTGGTGTCCCTGCTCAGTAAGGGCACTGCAAGACAGAAACTCTCTTTCCTCCCAAAAAAGCAGGCCTATAACATTTCTGGTTTTCCTTCCACTGTGACTCCCATGAATCTGCCTGGAGTTTTGCATTCACTCCTCATATATTGTTGCCCAGATACATACCAAACTACAGGTAAAGTTAAACTTCTTTGGCTCTTTCTGTCTGTCTGTCGTCTTCTGTTTAAAGAAGGTTAAGTGATTATGTCGTCTCAAAAGCTACTCCAGGCTGTGTGCAATATGCTGAAACCAGATCCCAAGATCCCATTTACACAGTCCTGAATGTTTCCTTGACAAAAGCCTGAATTGGACAAGTTTAGAAAAGCCAGTTAACAGAAAAGGAGAAAAAGAGACACACATACATAAGAGAGAAAAAGAGACCCAGCAAGCACAAAGGAGAAAGAGGGAGAAGCAGCAGTGTGAGAAAGGCAGAAAAAGTTTCTTTTTAGTTGGTGCTAGTAAATGTCTGTCTCTGAAACTGTACCATTTACAGAAGTTTTGCTTGTTGGAGTGCCAGCGAAGGCCATTACAAAGTGCCTCTGTGTTATTTATACTTCACATGCTTGTTCGCCTCCACATCACTTGGCTTTTGCTTCATAAACATGAACTGCACAATTTGTACAGTATAAATTATGCCACACACAAGAGCACGGGAAAACACAAGTGGATGGGGACAAAGAGACAGTGTTGTGTACGGGTTCCTAGCTGAAATGCTGTTTGCCATGAAGATTTATTCAAGCTAATGAAAATTAAATGAAACAGAAGGCTGTCGGCACAAAGACCTGGGAAGGAATTCAGCAGTCTCCTCTCCCTGTGGGACACCTCGAGGTGCATGGATTAGTCCCAGAGGCTCCTGACAGACATTGCTCATACAAAGTGAGGCGGTTAGCTAACACATGTAGTCTGCTGCAATGCTCCACAATTATCTCCACATAGTGACAATCAGTACCACTTCAAGCTTTCATGATACTTATACAAAAAAGTGTCATGATATGACTAAGTATTGAAATACTTTCAAGTCTTTTGGATAAGAGCTCAGTCAGCTGTGGGAAGACATGGATGGGGGTATCTATCTTTCCCCACATTAGCTCCCTGCTCTTGATGGGGGCAGCACCTCTCCCCAGTGATACCACTCCATGATGGTAGCTGGAAAGCAAAGTGGAGCTTTTTTTTTACCATGCTTCTCCTCTCCCACTTCTCTAGGGTCCAGGACTCTGTGAACATAAACTGCTCCTTCACCCATTATCCTCCAGAGACCTGCAGACACACACTGACCCTCCCTGCACACCAGCTCACACCAGCACTTTGCTGGTGAACACTGCTGGAGAGAAAGGGCTTGGAGGGGGGGCGTGGGTGTGACCTGCCCCAGCCTGCTTGGGGAGAGGAGACAGGAGAGAGGAAAAGGGGAAAAAGCAGAGGTGCAGGAACACTCCGCAGCACAAAGAAGGACTGAGCCAGGGCAGCACAGAGTAAGACACAATCTGATATGAGATTGTCAATGCCTAATAATTTTAGCAGTGTTTACATCTTTTTTCATAATATTATTGTTATATCAATCTACCATCCACCAGCTCTACCCGGAGTACATCTGCCACGGCATTCAATGCCTGCTCCTATCTCCACCAGGGTAACGAAGAGTGGAGAGATGGCAGCTTTTTTTGCCAGCCGCTGAATCCCTCCTGAAGGACTCCTGACCTGTAGTTTATCTAAGCCACCCTTTCTCTAGCTCTAAAATGTTGTCATCCTTTTCCAGAATGAGTGGAGGTTACTTTCCTCTCCCAGAGCAAGCTCAGTCTCAGATGAATCTGTAATTCAAAGCTATTATGGCACTGTCTCCTCCAGGTGTGGACTGGACTACACTGCAGCACACCACATCCCTTGTTTGCCAGCTCCTGAAGAAAATTGGCCTCAGTTCAAGTGGTGGGGACTCATACGGTGAAAGCTTGACAGGTTCCACCCCTACCATCGCTATGAGGTTACTCCCTGGCCACAAATGTGGTACAAAGCCATCTCTGTATTATAAAATTAAAAGGAGGGATGTACTGCAAGAGCAAAATGGAAACGCTGTGCTTCATCCCTCGAGGTCATAAACTCACATCACACTCCTGTCAGTAATGGCCAAAAGCTGTTTGGCATCAGCCTGACAACTTATTGTCCTTCAAGGAGTGCTTGGACCAAACTTTGGACCTGCAAGTCTTGCGGTGATTCAGAGCCTGTTCCAAGTGAGATTTTAGCAGTTCCCCAAAGCTCTGCAACAGCATCAAAATCCTATGCTTGAACAGTCCAGGGCTTAGACAAGTTCATGCAGGTGTCTAAAAGAGAGGGTAGTTTTAAAAAATACTCAGCTTTGGCCTAGTGCTAATTCTCCTGAAGTGAAGTCAGACCTCCCATTTGCCCTCAGTGGGAGCAGTGTTATGTTGGCACTGAAGGCTTTTGGAAATATTGCTGTAAAAGTCAATATGCCTTTTATAGAGAGTCTATGAAAGCTATAATAGCTGCACATGCAAAAGAAAGTCACTGCCCAGAAAAACAAATGCAAGGGAGAACCATGCTGGGGTATATGGCAGGGGGCCCTAGAGCAGACCACGGGCTGCATTTCGCATACGGACCCTTGGATGGGGTCCATTCACACCGACATGTTCAGCTGACACTCTGTTTATTATTTGACCATCTGTAGGGAGAACTCACTCCAGTCGCTCTGCCTCTCCTTTCCTTCAGCAACTGAGAAATGTACTGCATGAACAGCACTGAACCAAGAACCGAGGAAAACCAAAAACCATACACTACTCCTTACCCCATTGCTTCCCAGAATGATCTTCATATTCTCCATTGGAGCCTTCAGGTACCTGGCTATCCTTTCCTGAGCTGGCATCATCTGCAAAGGAAAGGAAAGGGAAGATGTTAAGAAGGTCTCCTGCAGTGCAGCAGTATGACAACAAGAGTTTGCATTTCCTCCTGGAGGCACCATGCAGCTGAAACACACTCAACACACATTTGGCATCCACATTCTGGCACTTACAGCCTGGCCAGTTTAATGAACAATTTAGTTTGCTGCTTTATGAGCTCTTCGGCAGGCTACCAAAGCAATGGGAGATTAATCAATGTTTCCATTAATAGCTGACAAAAGCCTCTTTGTTTATGTTTACAGGTTGCTGTTCCCTAGGAGGAGCTGATCCGTTGTACCTCCTATGCAAATAATGGTATAAATCAAAATTACACATAATTAAACCTAGGAGGTGGGGGAAGACTTATGTGATCAGTCACAGAAAGCATAAGCAGTGGAATTGGGGCCACTAATTCGCCTTTCAGCTTCCATACAAAATCAGGAAAGCAAGCAGGTCTGGGGTCAAATGCACCCTCAAGGTCTGTTGAATGCAAAGCTACAGCTGGAGAAAGCAATATTGAATTGAAAAGCTGTTTGTGGTTTGTTTTTTTCTTTAGTTAAGACCACCTATTCACCTGTATTGACAACACACCACTTTGTCCCTTGTCTATGCTACTACCACAGAGCAGCATCAAGGTCTCAGCTCTGTGCCCTGTACTACTAGGAGAAATAGAAATCACCACAAGGTGAAACCCCCATCTCTCCAGCAGCCCCCACCTTAAATTGCTGCTGTGATACGGCCAGCTACAAGGTCTCCACAGGGGCAGAGGGAGCAGGAGAGTGCCCTGAGCCTCCTTCTGCAACCCTGGTGATGCTGGTGGCCTCAAACCTCTGCAGTGCCCAGTTGTGAAGTTTTTTCTCCTCCAGTAACAGCCCAACATCTACTGCACAAGCACTCAGAAGGCATCTTGCTCTTATAGCAATGCATCACACGAGGAGGGAGGTCGACCTGAGGGACTTTGGGCACCTACAGGTGACAGCGCAGCAAAGTATGGCTCTTCCAAGGCTAGTTCTGTGCTCTACAGGTGGCCCAGCCCCATACAGCAGCTGGATTTGGGGTGAAGATCTTGATAAAGAGCTACTCAGCTCCTAGCTACAGTGCACTGAAGTATATGAAGTTTGATTTTCAGAAACTGGTCAGGTGAAGAATTGGAAAAAGTTCACCTCAATAAGAAACTGCTCTGCAGTGGTGTAAAAAAAAAAAAAATCAAGAGAAATGGAAACATCTGACCTAAGGAATGAATCCCTCCAGATGCTCAACTCCTATAACTCATAAGAAAAAGGTCTCATGACCAAAAGAGAGGAAATTTCTTGCTGTAATCTCTGTGAAAGAGAGGAAAAACTTATCTCCGCTTATACATGAGCATGCCCCCCCACCTCCAAATGTACAAGTAGTAGAGCTCCTCTTTACAGTTGTTTTAGAAGTTGGGTTGTGCTTAAACAGTGCTTGGTGCATAAACTTGTGTGCAGTCTTTGTGTGAGAAGAACGTGTGTTTAACCCCATCCTCACCCCAGTTTCTGCTATTTTGGAAAATCATCCCATCTCTTCAGCATGGAGCATTTTATGCTGACACATGCTCCAATCTCTTTTGCTGCTGTCCCTTAAGCAGGGAGGCTGCAATGCCATATGGGTTTGTCCCCCCCTCGCCCCTGACAGATTTTTCCCTTCTCCTTGTGGGTACTTGGGCACAGTTTCCCCCGGAGGTATGTGCAGCTGTCACTTCAAGGGGAAAAGAAAACTTTCAGGGCAGCAGCACGCCGTGCTCTTACTTCGGCAGCTCACTCCAGCCGACTGCCCCTTCCCACCTCCCTCTCGCCCTCCGTCCATCACTGGAAACCCAGAGGCTTTCCCGGCGGCTCCAGCCAGCTCCCAGCACAAACCACAGGGAAGCAGCGTGAAACGCAGTCTCAGGAAACAACTCTCGCGCAGGGCTGTGAGTGCAAACGCACCGTCCAGGCTCCGCCGAGGCTGGCCCTTAGCCTGTGTTACAGAGGAGACGAGTAACCCATGTGCTGCATTTTACAAATATATTTTTACTGCCTTGGCAAACCAAATGCAGGGAATACAAATATACCCATTATATATGATGGCTTGCATATGACAGTTTGTCTCCTTTCAGTCAAAATACTGAATCGATTATCTTCTGGCACTTGTAGAGTTTTTCACATAAATATCAGTAGTGCTGTGAATGAAATCTTGGATGCTCTCTGACAGAGAACTTAGTAAATCCCTTAGCACAATTAGAAAAATGTATTGAGTAATGGAGAAGAAAGAAAAACTGTGGTCAGAGATGTAGGATTCCTGCCCATCATTAACTGCTGAATATCTTAAAAGTGGTTAAGATGTTTAAGTGGCGATGTTCTGTCAATTATATCTTAATCCTACTCAGCTTGATGTACAAAGAGCAGTATATCCTCCCTTGCCTCCTGCCTCATGTTACAGTATGTCAGCCCATGTGCGCTCCTCCTGCCTACACACAAGGACTGACTGGTGTTCTCAACACCTCTTGACATGCTGCCAAGCTTTTGATGTAAGTAAAATTGCTCTGAATCTGTTTGATCCTCTGAAGATGCTTCTTTAGTTGTTATCCTGCCAAATCGCAAACCTGTGGAGTAACCTACCAAACCCAGAAAAAATCATTTTGGGGGGAAGAGATCGGGATAACTAATGCCACCGGGCTGAGCCTATGAAATAGATAATTTGGTGGAGAAGCAGGACTGAAATACACAACTGCATGCATTTAGACATGTTGGTTTAGATCCACTGGAACCAGTTTCACTTTTCTTAGGAATGTTGTAATGTTAACAACGCCACACAGCATAAGTCTCGGGGGGGGTGGAGTGGGGAAATGTCATAAACATGGAAACTCATGTAGAGCAAAACTAATCCTTCCCATCACCAGAGCTGCACCGTGGGTGAGGGGTGTTACAGCAGCCTCCATTCCAGCTGCAGCATGCAGTGAATTGGGCTCCTACCTTCAGCATGACTGCCTCTGAACGAACTCACACTTGAGAGCTGTAGGAAAAAAGCTGATTCATGAGATCCAGAAATTGGATGAAACTCATTTTGGGAAGATTCTCTGAAGCCCAGTAATTGCCAGTCAAACTGGAAAGTGTGAGTGAGGCAGCAGAATAGCCAGTGATATAATGATAAAGCATTAACCTGGGATGTGAGTGACCCAGGGTCAAGTCCCTCTTCTGCTATATTCAGAGGGATTTGAACCTCCCCTCTTGCACCATGGGTGAGTGTCTTAAGCTCTGAACTGTGGTCTCAGAGAGCCAAAAAAAGAGCTCATTATTACGTAAAGTGGAACAGCACTGTGGGAGACAGGTATGTCAGCAACACCCTTAGGGTGGAAGACTCCTGTCTAATTCAGATATCACCAAGATTTGACTTCCACCCACCCATCCAAAGTTAGTACTGTGGCTGCATGGAAAGAATCTGTCTCTCCCTGTTTTGAAGAACTTTCTTATTTTTTTAATTTTAATATCAAGTGGTTTCCTAGGGTAGAGAAACACTTTTGCAGTTGTTCTAGTCCCTGTGCTAGCAAGGATGAGTATCTTTCTGTACCACAAACACACTTTGGTCAGCCTGCTCACTTCCTAAGGAAGGATCTATGACACTGAAAGCAAAGCCAAATTTGCTGAAAGTTCAGAGGCATCTGATTCAGCCCAAGCCTGCAGTCTGAAGCCTGGTTAATAGTGCCAGATCTGCAAACCTGCTTTTTGCATTTCACCCCAAGCTTTACAAATGCAACTGGCCTGGCAATATTCTTACTAGACAGAAAGTGAACCTGAAAAAACGAGCCGCATTCAGATATGTATGACTAGCACACAAAATGATGAGTTAGTAGCAGAAATCACATGAGTCTTAGTTATATTCAAAAATGACCTAATAAGCCCATTGCTTACTCATTCTTTTGTCACCTCCCACAGAGGCAGGCAGGTCAGGGTGATAAGTACATACAAAAAAATCAGCTTGCAGCCAAAGGGCAGCAGGGACCAGCTATACAGCATTGCCAGCTTTGCTGCCAGCAGATTACCGCAAGAGGCAGTGCTAAGAAGGATGAGCTGCTGAAGTTTCCTACAAGCTCCCTTTTCTGTGACCTATATTGGAAGGTCATCCTGTACTGAACTTCTTGGACAGTATCACAGGCTTAGGAGAGCAGCCAGTTGGAAGACCAAGTGGAAAACCTGCCTTGAAAAATAATCACTGACTAATTTTATGTCACGAGTATCTGAGGCTAAGAAATCATATACATGATTTAGGTGTCTTCAATGTACAACTTGGTCCCATGGTGTTACAAAGCATGCTGGCTGGTCGAGAAACCTGAAGTGAAAGGCTCCAATATCACATCAGGTGATGGACGTGGAGACATGGGACAAACTCATGTAGCCCCTTCCCCTCCAAATACCGCACCTGGCCATACAAGACAGGGCCAGGATGGATCCAGAGGCATCAGCCTGTTGTTCAGGAATGTCATCCCAGTGGCATGATACCCAGCTGCTCTCCAGCCACTGCCTCTGTCTCGCTTCAGGATCTTGTCCCAAGCTAGCTTCTAGATCTGAGATGCCACAGGACTGAGATGTTGGTGCTGTGCTGGGGAAGTGTGTGGTGAGGCTGAAAGGGGCAGTCATGGGATTGGTTTTGCATAAGACTTGACACATCTGAGTGTATGAGGCCCTGATTATGAGTGCTGATGTCAAGGGCCAAATTGCCCTTTCTATCCCCAGAAAGCATGATGCTCCATGCATATTGCCTGCCATGTGTCTTTTTGGTCTACCCCCTGTCCCAAAGCAGGCTGGATTTCTGCAGAAAAGAGATTTCTGTATGTAACTCCATCAATTGACAAAGCACTTTGGGGATTCTATGGGACAAAGAGTGCCGCATAAGTGGGGTATAGTTACTGTTTATTACCATAGCAGAATTGTTCCTTTCCCTCTTAAAAGTTAAAACAAATGGAAAATTCTGCATAACGGTCCGGCTCTGA